ACATCCCTAGATTGCATGAGGGTAGACTGTGAGAATATTAAAAGTAAACTGTAAAAACTACTGCTTGACTGCTTCCACGAGCTAGAGCAAGCCTGTTTGAATCCACCAATCGGCCGAAGTGGTCCAAACATGCACCGAGGCTCTTACTAGCGCAATGACATCAGCCTCACGTCACTACTTTTCCACTCCTAGTTTTGTGCCCTTGTCGCGATCCCTAGAGAAAATGCATGCGTACAAAGCACAGCTGTATGTACGTGTACGTGACAGAGGGATCCTTGTTGCTTTCGGCTACGGCAGGACCAGGATACTACCGCTATATGTCAGCTTGTTCATTCGATCAAAGGGGTTTAGGTGAGGCCAAGATTTGGTCAATTGTTTAAGTCGTCTGCAAGGTGGAACCGGAAGGGCAGAACAAATCAGATCGTTTTTTCAACTTCCGGTTCGAGCTCCAGCCAGGGCGGAGGGGGCTTCGTGGTTGCTGCTGCGACGAGAGCTGCCTCGTCGGCGCTTTTGACTTTGTTCCGCATCGTTTGCTATGGGCTTTGTTGTTGGTTCGACGACAAGTCCAATCCTGTGTGTATGTGTTATGTGTATGATGGGACAGTTAGGCTTTGGGCTTTGAATTAAGCACTAGTACTAGTGTCCGCTACTGTCAATGCACAGTACCACTTGGAAATACGTATAATATGCCGCAATTATATGTCTCTTGTGTTGTGTGGTTGCGTTCTGGCTGGTGTTTTGAATTGCAATGTATCTTTGCATATCACAAAGCGTAGTAACCAAACTGATCGCGTAATCCCCAAGACATGACTCGTGAGCGACCATGCTCTATCTATATATATTGAGAAAAATGAAAAATCAACTAGGGCGTGGTACGTCCAAGTCCACCATGCATCATTCATCGCGTGGCTTGGGAACCTAGAACTCCCCACACGGCGCCTTTGTACCCACCTATGACTTTGACTTTCGTCGAGAACCATGCCCGATTGGCCGATTCTAGTGTTATATAATATACTCAGACAGATCGTCAAAGACCAAACAGCTTGGCTCGGCTGGACTCTGGACTCTGGATTCTGAGACAGTGAGAGACCCCACGCACGGCAGACGAAGAAGAAGAAGAGTTCCTAGTTCTCACACAAGCGGGAAACGATCGTTGAACTGTCGGTACCTACCTACCCAGCTTCAGCAGTAGACTCCGCTGGCTGCAGTAATAGTAATGTCAAGTGCCGAGACCTCGTATGATGAACAGAACATGCACCCCCGATCTCCATCTAGTTTCAGCGGAGGGTTTTACGACGTTTTTCAATACTGTCATGTCACGTAGAATGGAATAACATGGATGAAACCTCTATTCTTGACGGAGACTTTTGTTCTATAGTTTGATAGACATTTAATTCCATGACTCCTAGAGAGTTTCATCTCCGTAAAACTCACTTCTTCTCTCTCTTCTTTAAAACCTTGCCACATCATCAAAAAAGCTTATGTGTCAGCTTATTAAATGCAAATAAAACTTTGATGAAACTCCCACTAAGACTGGCCTTAGGCAGGTCTCAATGGTGAGTTTCACAACGCTATTTCCAAAACCGCCATGTCATATACAATGAAATGAAACTTGGATGAAACATCATCTCTCAATGCAAAGTTTTAGTCTAGAGTTTCATAGGCATTTAATTCCATGACTCGTAAAGAGGGGTAGTCATACTAAGAGAGTTTCATAAAAAAAATATCTATGTGAGAACCTATTTAGCACAAATGAAACTCGCATAAAACTCTCACCTTATCAGGAGTTGACCCGGCCGCGAAGCAATTGGTCTACTCTTGACCGATCAACCCGTCTACTACAACATTTTTTTTATTGTACGACACTAGAAAAGATGGTTGCTGATCAACAACTCGTCTGCCTCAAGCCTCCACGTCCACACATCCGTCAATGCGAGCTGGTCACGCACGAGGTAAGCAAAGACTCCACGCACAAGTTTCGACCCCGAGTACGCAGATCCACCTGTCCAGGCCCGGTACCAGCCAGCACGAGTCCCCTCTCTCGCGGTTCCGCGGCGCCGGTGCCGAACCTCCCCCCCACCCCAAGGCCACAAGGCACTGGCACGGTCAACCAGTCCCGCCCAACCAAACTCTCCAGGGAGACGAGCTGGCTCACCGCTCGCGGTCACCGGACGGCCGGACGGGAACAGAAGCCGCTCGGTCACCGTTTCGCGTTCCACACTTCCTCGAACGTGCCGGGTGCTGCCGCGACGGGCGCACGAAAGAGCGACGGAGAACTGTGCCGCTCTGTCCAGAGTCCAGTCCACACGAGCCGCCCTCGCCCGCTCCCGGCGCTATAAGTAGCGGCCCGGTCCGCCGAGCAGAGGAGCAGACGCAAACGCACTCGCAGTACTCGCCTCCTGTGTCTGCGTGAGTTGTGGTCGAGACTCGAGACATACTAGATACATGCACGCTAGCCTCGCCTCCTACGCCGCGGTAGCTATGCCGGCGCTCGACCTCCGCCCCGAGATGGCGCACGCGCACCAGCCCGTCATGTCGCCGTCGCACCACGGCTGGGACGGCAATGGCGCCGCAGTCGTGCCCACCCCTATGCCCAAGAGGTACTTACTACTCTGTCTCCATTTCCATGGTACAGTAGCTGCGTGCGTTCGTTTGCTGCCCCGCCCCCCCTGGTTTCTTGGAGTTTGCCGTGGCGGCTAATGCCGGTGGCGACCTGTGTTTGTCGTGCAGGCTGGACGGGAAGGTGGCCATTGTGACGGGCGGCGCGCGCGGCATCGGCGAGGCCATCGTGAGGCTGTTCGTGAAGCACGGGGCCCGGGTGGTGATCGCGGACATCGACGACGCCGCCGGGGAGGCGCTGGCGTCGGCGCTGGGCCCTCAGGTCAGCTTCGTGCGCTGCGACGTGTCCGTGGAGGAGGACGTCAGGCGCGCCGTGGACTGGGCGCTGTCGCGGCACGGGGGGCGGCTCGACGTCTACTGCAACAACGCCGGGGTGCTGGGCCGCCAGACGCGCGCCGCCAAGAGCATCCTGTCCTTCGACGCGGGCGAGTTCGACCGCGTGCTCCGCGTCAACGCGCTGGGCGCCGCGCTCGGGATGAAGCACGCGGCGCTCGCCATGGTGCCGCGCCGCGCCGGGAGCATCGTCTCCGTCGCCAGCGTCGCGGGGGTGCTCGGCGGCCTGGGGCCACACGCCTACACCGCCTCCAAGCACGCCATCGTGGGGCTCACCAAGAACGCGGCCTGCGAGCTCGGCGCGCACGGCATCCGCGTCAACTGCGTGTCGCCCTTCGGCGTCGCCACGCCCATGCTCATCAACGCCTGGCGCCAGGGGCCACGACGACGCCGGCGACGCCGACCTCGACCTCGACATCACCGTGCCCAGCGACGAGGAGGTGGAGAAGATGGAGGAGGTGGTCAGGGGCTGGCCACGCTCAAGGGCCCCACGCTGAGACCCAGGGACATAGCCGAGGCGGTGCTCTTCCTGGCCAGCGACGAGTCCAGATATATCTCCGGCCACAACCTCGTCGTGGACGGCGGCGTCACCACCTCCAGGAACCTGATCGGCTTGTGAATGTGATCCAGGCCATTCCATGGCTACGCACTCTAATTAGAGAAGTAAAAAAGTAGTTTTGTACTTGAAGTGATCGATTTCATTTGGTTGATTGATTCATCAACAAAAGTGTTGGGCGGGCTTGATCATCTGATGAGCATTGCTGCTGTTGCCCTTCATCAGCAATTGCGTTTGCAATTGCCGAGCAGAGCACTGAATTGTCTGATTTCTCCTGGTGGTCCTGCCACGTGAATGAGGAACCATTTGTTGGATGGTTGAATAATACCTGTCAGTAGTACCAAGGCCACCGGGGAAGCGGGAATACTGCACTGCATTCGTGACCAGTAGCTGACAAAGTACGTTGGAAAGACTACAAATATTGATGAACAGCAGAATAAGTACGATTGAACTGTACCCATACAAAAGTTTTAAGCCCTGGGGGTGGGGGCTCTGGATAGATTAGATGGAGCTCATGTTGTGGTCCACTTGCGATTGCGAGCGCTTCCGCTGAACTGTCGTCTCGCCCACACAACTTTTGTGAGAGCTGTTCTGTTCAATAATAGGAGTACTAGGCATGAAATACTAGCACACTAATTGTATGTTCGCAAGTGGTAATTCAGTGAGTCCATATGAACAGTCTATGAACGAAACACTAGTATAAAATAAGCTCATAGTGTACACAACAAAAAGCAACACAAAAATGTATGTGGGGTAGGCGACTTGGTTTCTGAACTATGAGATCATAACGAAGATGGAACAAAGAAAAGGCCTGTGCTAGGACAGTTTCCAGTCGCAGTTACAGAACTGAAAAGGCAAGAAAAAGAAAACCTTTGCAGCTTAAAGAAAGAAGATTTTTGGACAGAACGGACGGTGGGCTTCTATATAGACCCGCAACCGTGTGATACGCAATCTGATGTGGTCACTGCATCGGTCATGATCCGGGAAGCGAACTGCTCCCACTAACGGCAATAATGTTCAGTTCAGACAGGCAAATGACTTTTCGCTTGGGTGATAAGCCATGGCTAAAAGTACTATTAGCTTTTTTTTTTTTTTTGTGGGAGAAAAATACTGTTCGTTGACTAAAAAAAATACAGCTTATAAGCCAAACGAGCCGGACAAAAGTCCTGCCTGGCCAGCACAGTTTTTGACGAGACCTATATATGTGCCACACGGCTGTGACCGACGCTGCAGCTGCAGCCGGCAGACCAGGCGTATTCAAGCAAGAACTGCTACTAGTTAGCTTCTTTTGTAACAAAATTTTCCTTTCCACAGGCGAGAGTCGACATACATGAAAAGATACTAGATCAAACTTCTAAAGACCTACTCCTATGCAGCGACGAAGTAAAACATGTGAGGAGTTGGAAGAAGTATTTGCCAATCGCAATGCCTTTCCAAAACATCTCAGACCAGCTAACAGCTATGCCGTGCGCAGGTTTCGCTGAGAGCTGCCATGGCCAGCGACAACAGGGCTCCGAGCATGGCGGGCACATGTGCTCGCCATGTCGTCGGCATCCTGTTTGCTCTCAGCTTAACACTAAACAATAGAGCAGTAGGCTACAAGGAAGTGTCCTGTGCTATCACATTGGAGGGAGCAAATTGCATAGGTCCGGCGCTCCGGCTCAAGGGACAGAGCATTGGTACGGAGAATGTGATGGACGGAGATCGCTTTACAGGCAGCGAGAGAGACAACGCAGCGCTGCTGATCTTCTGGAACTCCACATCTTTGTTCAGGATTTGTTGGCGTCGAAGTATACAGTAGTCTAAGACCAAGACTCAGGACAGATAAGAGACGTTGTGAAGCCTACTAGAGGTTGAATAAAGAGCAAACATTCTGTCAGGTATCGATATTAGGATACTTAAAGCAAAGAAGTTAGCATTCACGCTGACTTCCTTGATGGCTCGAGACGTATTAAAAGGTCTCGTTCGACCCCAAGGCCGCGGGCTCCGCCTCGCCCGACCTCGAGGCCACGGGCTCCGTTTCGCTCAACCCCAAGGACGCAGTTTCCGTCTACCTCGAGGCCGCAGGCTCCGTCTCGCTCAACCCCAAGGACGCGGTTTCCGTCTCGCCCAAGGCCGCGGGCTCCGTCTCGCTAGACCTCGAGGCCGCGGGCTCTGTCTCACCCGACCCCTTGGGTGCGGGCTCCGTCTCGCCCAACCCCAAGGACGTGGTTTCCGTCTCGCCCAAGGTCGCGGGCTTCGTCTCACCCGACTTCGAGGACGTGGGTTCCGTCTCGTCTGATAGGGACCCGTACCGCCGCCAACCACTCTAGGTCCAACCGTATGGGCCTGGGTCAAAACTCTGACGCCAGGGAAGAGGCTGGCACGCCTCGATTTAACCCATGGCCATAATGGGTCATACCTGGGGATTCACTTCAACAATAGTGTCGGGCGTGCCGGTGCTGTTCTGCCTAATTCTCGTACGGACGCTAACAGGCGCGTCGATTCACCACGACGTCCGTCGGGACGGAGTGGAATGCCATGACTGGCAGATGACGTCTGCGCATGGCGCCAGTGACGAACAGGACCGCGACATGGAGCCGTCCCTGTTGACATCTACAGGATCGGCGGGACCCGCATGAAGGAGAAGAAGGACCCGACAGCCCTGGAAGCCTTCTTCTCTCTCGTTCTTCTCCTTTATCTTATCTGTAACCCGCGCTTTCTCTTCGTCTATAAAAGGGGAAGCAGGGCGCCCCATGAAAGGGGATCGAGATCTCGACACGGAGATCTGAACACAAGAGCACGACACGAGCACACGACTGAACGGCAAGCGAGCTCTCAGCACCCGTTCACTCCTACCAGAGACTTGAGATCCTCTCCCTCTCTCGCCTGTTTGTAACCCCTACTGCAAACCAAGTGCCGATAACACGAGCAACAGCGAATTGGACGTAGGAGCCTTCCGCCCGAACCAGTATAAACACTTATGTCCTCCGAGCACACCATCCGAGTCAGACGCGTAAATACAAATTTACTCGTCGGTGGTCTGAAAACACCGACACGTTCATGAGGCCATATTTGTGAGAGCTTCACTCTCTGATTCTTAGGTTCAGCTTCTTGATTCTGTGATTCTAATTTATTCTTATAGGGAAGCAGTACGAGTCTATGAGAGTTGATTTTAGAGTGATTTCTGTAGAGGGTTAAATAAGGAGCATGTTTTTAACTTACAACTACCAATATAAGCGGAGAAGTAGGGAACAGCCTGAGTGCAGGCTCAGTACCTTCCTTGGGGCGATCAGAGCTTGAGTTCTGATGAACTCACTCCCGGCCGCCACGACCAGTGGGGGAATTAACTCCCTTGTATCTGTTCCACGTCTAAAGCACAGGTTTATGATCAGCTAACTCACGGAGCTGCGATGCTACTGTGTATGAGTGGAGCAGGGGCTAGGGGTTTTAAATGCTAGGTGCTGTCTAGTCACCGTAGGTAAGTTTTTTTTTAAGAGTAATTTTTATCTATCTCCCGTCAAAATCTATGCATAATTTTTTAAAACGGAGCGCCGGAGGCTGTTGCGCTTGTCCGCTTGCCGGTGCAGGAATCCATCCAATCAGCTTGTGGTTCTGGACTGGGGCTACGGGACCGCGACCTGCGGCTGCGGGGTGATTTGGCTGGCACGACGCGCGGAGTTCTGTTCAGTTGCCGGACTCGTGTTTTGTTTTTTTTGGCTCCATGAATCTCCGCTCCGTCTCGGCAGATGGGCATCTGTCACCGTTCGCCTGGGCTTGATTTCTTTCTTGGTTTCCACCAGACTCTACTACGTACAACGCCGTGAGAAAAAAAAAGGATGCAAGGGTGGACTGTTGTTAGTGACAACTGTTGTTAATGACTGAAGAGGAAACCAAAGAGTTGCCGGACGTGGTACGAGTCTTCCGGTGATTGCTCAATTAACCACCCCGAATTCGTCGGCTCAGCCAGTAGCAATCCTGGGGTCGTGCCAGTGGAGTAGCATCCAGCAATTGACGTTGATGTTTTCTTTAATAAAGACCGGTAGGCAATGTAGCACGTACTCCCTCCGTCCAGAATTATGTTTTTTTTCTGGACGGATGAAGTATAAGGCCGTGTTTAGATGAGCGTTAGGAATCAGTATTTGATACTGTAGCATTTTCGTTTGTATTTGATAATTATTGTCCAATCATGGTCTAACTAGGCTCAAAAGATTTGTCTCGTAATTTACACTCAAACTGTGTAATTAGTTATTTTTTTATCTACATTTAATACTCCATGAATGTGGCCAAAGATTTAATGTGATAGAGAGAGATTGAAAAAACTTACAATCTAAACTAGGTCTAAGTATTTGTTTTTCTTTTTGATTCGAAGTTTACTGGAGCCATGGACCAGTACAGCTACTGGAGTGCAGTAGCCGATCGTACATGACGCTCTACACAGCACACAGGACATGCGTCGCGTCGCGTCGCGTCCTTCAGGAGGCGGGCCACGGACGGACGCCGGGACGCGGGCGGACAGAATCAGACACAACCGGACCCCTACACTTCGTCCGGGCCCTAGTCCTAGTGGCTACCGCCGCCGTGTCGAATTGAAATTGTCCATGGAGCAGTGCACTGTACACGCCATCGAGGCAGCGAGCGCCCTGCGCTCCCTAGGCCCCCACTCCTCTCTGCCGGTCTGTACTTCTAGCTCGGGCAAAAACACGCCACACTCTGAGAGTCTCAGATCCCGTGCGCGAGCGCCTGGCGTTTACGCTGCGGAAATCGTGTTCACCAAGCGCGGCACGGCGGCAGGATCGGTCGATGGAGTGGGACTGTGGGAGACTGGGAGTAGAGTGCTGCGATGCATGATGCATCATACTCCTACAGTCCTACTCCGACACGCGGTGGCTGTAGCAGTAGCATGGGCTCTGTGTTTTCCCCATGCGTCCTTGCTGTCTATGACTGCCTGAGGGAGACGGACACGGACCAGACAACAGAGGGGCAGAGAACTGATGCAACTGGGCTTCCTAGCAGACCTACCTGAGGACTTTGATGCTACATGTCTCCTGATCCTATCTTACAGCCTGTTCGGCAGGCTGGGCTTGCTTCTCGCTCGTATATGATCGTAAATTTTCAGTTGAAATAGTATTTTTCTCTCACACCAAACCAGCCAAAACAATCAGCAGTAAATAATCCATGACCGTTTATGGCCTGCCGAACAGGTCGTTAGTTATTTATATCCTATTATATATTTATATTTATACACTTAATTGTTAACACTCATAATTGACTCTAAAAGACGCAAATCTAGGCTAATTCTGGGGAAACCGTTTTTCAAACCGGCTAAGCTGGTTTTTGAGACATCCTAACTGAAAATTGGGCTTCACCGTCAGATTCCGCTCGTCGAGATGATCGAAAACCATATATATAACATCCAATTTGAAAATCAGATAAAGAAAAATGGCTTTGGAAAAATCCACCTGGTGGCGATTTCGAAACACGGTTTTATGAACTTCTTCAACGGATTGTTGTGATGGAGAAATAATTATTCAATGGAGAACCTAAATGCTTATGGTGATGTGAACTCCGCAGCAAGGTCCTTCCCTCTACCAAGGACGACACCAATGAAGTGAAAAGTAATACAAATCAATCACCGGTGGAAGAAAGCGGAAGTAGACACAGCGTTAATTCCATCTTATAAGTTAGTAAAATGGAGTATCTTAACTTTCAGGCTTAGCAGGGATATGGAGTCTGATGGCCTGATATGAAGGTCTAATCTGATGCCGAACAGCAATTGCGGATTGTCTTGATGTTTTGATGAACGTGTTTTTTTTCTTTTTTTTGAAAACAGACAGCCGTGGATCATGCAACTACAAGAGGTGTTGTGCTGCAACTGATCGGGTGACGAAGCAAACGGGGGAGACGAAGGCATGAAGCGAACCTCTAAATTGCTAAGCTAGACTGACAGATCTCAAAAATAAGGAAATCACCACAGACTCCTTCCTATCATGCACATAGCCTATCATTGAAAGAATCTCGTCGTTAAATTCTAGAATAAATCCAATAAAATACGAGCACTCATGTGAAGTCAAGGACTTTAGGTGGACATGTTCCATCACAATGCAACTGACGAACTGAGCTATGCTCATTTCGCGCACCCATCTCTAGTGGGTCGACGGTGTGTCGACGTGTTGGCATTGTTGTCCAATGTGTAATGGTGCATCATGGTAATTAGCAGAGCAGGGTGCACCACTTGTGGTTTTGGTAGTAGCTATATAGTGCTCTTTGCTTGAGTGGAGTAGTGATACGGCAACGTTGTGCAACGCGTGTTAAAGTTTCAATTCAACAGATTATTGGCTGAGATAGTTGCTTATAGGTGTTAACTTAGTTTGGTTATCTTTGGCTGTTGGCGTTTGTTGTTCTACTGTTTCAGATTGCTGTCGTTGCTTTTATTGTACTATATATTATGTTCTTTTCCATTTTACTATAATCTTATTGTACTATATATTCTGTTCTTTTCCATTTTACTATAATTGGTAACTCTCTTGTGCTCGATCTTTTAAAAGATGGAAAGACTACCAATGCAAGTGGCACCCTTGATATCACTTGCTGCGCTGGCAACATCTTGAGGCCACTCACCACTCAGCCATATCAATATGATCACGGTACCGGCCGGTACATGTGGCTAGACCGGTATGAAAACATCCTCATCCTGTACCGGTCTCAATACCGATTAATACTGGCCAATACCGATCGATACAATTTTATGAACTTGTTGAGTTATATAATATATTAAACTTAAATCCATGTATTTTTAGAATGATTACGACTAAAGTTCTATTAAAATATATTATATGTAATTACTTATATGTAGCTTTATATATATTATGATTTTATTAAAATTTAAAACGATACATCGGTTTGGCAGCTATCGAAATGTGCCGTTCCAAAAGGGAAAAAAAATGGATGGGCCTCCGGAACGGTTGACAAGTAGCCACTCCCTACCCACAGCAACAATGTTCACTATAGCTATTAGTAGTTCTAAAAATTACCTACGAGTCAATTCATTGCTGCTGCTTATCCCACCTGGTACGTTAAAGTTAAAGCCGCGTTAGAGCAAGCGTAGCGCAGGCCAATACCATCGTTAGCCACAGTAAAAAGCTTACCTACACCGCTACACGTAGGAGTAGAGTTGACTGAAGCCACCACCTCCCAATCGCACCCTATGGCAGGTTATACTGGCAAATGTTGGTAGTACTTCCCTTCCTCCCATCACGTGTTCTCTGGTTGTTGCTTAGCAGGCTCTGCGAGGCCACCATCATTCTACCTTTTCTCGTACGTGGCCTGACGAAGCCAACATCCAGCATGGAGCGTTGGTGGTGGCCCTTTCCTCTCCGTCTACGGCCTGACTGTATCTATACTAACAGCTATGAGAACATGACCACTTCTGAATTCTGAATTTCTGATATACTACTGCCTGGTATGGTGCCTGCTGGTAATCTCATTCCCTTTTACTGCTTCCTTCCTGGTCAGATAAAGGATGGATTGCTTTGTTTGGCTTTTCTTTTGCCATGTCAATTTGTTAGTTCAAGAGTCCAGTGAGATGCCAATGATACCAAGCAGAAGAAAAGTTGGCAAAGGGCGCAATAGTCCTCTCTTCCCTGCAGTCATCAGTCCGGATGTCAGCCAGTCCACAATGCTACATGGAGTTCCAGACTTCCACCAGTGCTGCTCGAGTGCTGTTGCGGATGTACCCACGGCGAGCATGAATTCCTGCTCCCATCCGCAGAGCCAAGAACCAAAGCCGGACTACCGTCGCTACACCATGCGCTGATGGGTTTTGTGCTCCCGTCCGTCGTTAGCTCAACGGGCAACGGCGAATGGCGAATTGGCAACGGATCCGAGTGGATTCTCGTGGCATCCATCATCCATGGCGGCTTTGGCATCACCATCAACACATTGTTCGACAGAGCTGATCAGCTGAACTTGCACATGTGGAACGTCATGGGCACTTGGATCAACACCGATCAAGCTGCCCATCTAGCAGTGACCACCGTTCATGAATTCCACTGACGACTGAAGCAGTGACCACACCAGCTCCAGGACCGCTTGCTTGTTTTTTTTTACCGTCTCCGTAGTACCGGAGTCCGGACAGATAGCTGGGCCTCCCGGGCAGGCCATGAAAGTAGGGAACAGTGTGCCACTGCGAACCCGCCTGTGGGCTGTGGCCTGCCCATACCAGCACGACACGAGTAAGCGACCGGCGAGCACGTCACGTCGCCTCAACTTTTCGTCGACTCGTCCGGATGTTATAACTCTCCCTCACCAAAACTCCTAGGCAGCTGCCAGCGGCCCAGCTCACTCCACTCACTCCCAGCGCACTTGAACGGCAGACAAGGCGAGGAAAGGAAGAAGAGAGAGTGCGTGCGTGAGAGCCAACGAGAAGCAAGTGAGACAGCAGCACGCGACGCACGGTCGATGGCGCGGTGGGCGGCGGTCCTGGTGCTGGCGGCTACGGCCGTCGCCATGGCGTCCGTGGCGGGCGGCGACATGAGCGCGGACAAGACGGAGTGCGCGGACCAGCTGGTGGGCCTGGCGCCGTGCCTGCAGTACGTGCAGGGGCAGGCCCGCGCGCCGCCGCCCGGCTGCTGCGGCGGCCTGCGGCAGGTGCTGGGGAAGAGCCCCAAGTGCATATGCGTGCTCGTCAGGGACAAGGACGACCCCGGCCTGGGCATCAAGATCAACGCCACCCTCGCGCTCGCCCTCCCCAACGCCTGCGGCGCCACCCGCGCCGACGTCTCCCACTGCGCTCGTACGTTGTACACCTCCCTCACCTCGCCCTGTCTGCTTGCTTGCTTCATCATCTGCTGCTGCCATCCACAAGCCTACAAGGCCGGCGACCCGGCGTTGCTTTCTTGCCAGCATGTTCATGCATCGACGCAACCAATTAAGCACACAGTATAGTAATCGTAGCTGGTTTTATTCCGTTACTATTAGGAGGTACCGTCCGTACGGCCGCTGTGGGCCCGTTCGCGGGTACTGAGACTTGGCTGAAACTGACCGGTCGTGGGAGGGAAAGACGGTAGCGGCTAGTGATGACTCACAGTGATTTGTGCGCTGGTCGGAAAAAACCAGACCAGCTAACGGCGCCTACGCCGTGCGCGTGTGCCTGATTGAAAACTTTGTTTCTACTTCCTCCCTGCCTAATAACTGTCGTTGTTGTCTTCGTGTCACAGGTTTGACTGAATTTTTAGAAAATACATATATTCCCAAATGAATTTATTAAAAAATTAAATTTAAATATCTTTCTAATGATACTAATTATTTATTATAAATATTAATATTTTTTAATATATATTTAATCAAAGTTATTTCTCAACCAACGAAAATGATACATATACAGGACAGAGGGAATACGTGGTTGTCTCACAATGCCCGCTGCGGCCGGGCCGGGATACGAGAAAGTTAACTGTGCCCTTAGAGCATGTGTCGCTACGCGTGTCGTTGGATTCGTATTAAGATATATGCACGCACACTTCTCAATGCGAATATGTGATGCTGTTCGATTGATGGTTTCTGCGACTTATGTTAATGCTAATTTATTACGAGAGAAAAACACGTTTCCATGGCTAAAAAGTAATTTTGATTCTGACTGTAAGTGAACAGGGCGTGCAAGAGTGGATGTGCCGAGAGCAAATGCCCTTAAAAAAAACGCCTTCTGTCTTTTAACTGGAGATCACCGAGAATCTCCTTCCAGTTCTCCTCAAATGGCAGACGTCGGTTGCAGTCACAGGGAAGCGACAAACGCATGCGCCGGATCCTGATGCTGTTCCGTGGTGACGTGGTCTGGGTTCCGCTTAGCAAGCGGTTTTAGCCTGCCATGGAACTGCTCCAACTGCATTTCAGTTTTGATTTTTTCATTGTATAAATGACATGATGTCAGTAGCATAAACAACTTTGACCGGCCTTTTTCCGCTCCCAAAATCATGGGTGTACAGCTGTAGGGTACAAGTAAATAAAATCTAAAATGCGTGTGTTCTTGCTGCAGAGCTTCTGCATATTCCTTCGGGCTCCAAAGACTAGCCCTGGGCATTCGGTACTACCGAACCGAATCATCGGTTCTTCGATTCTCATGAAAGTCGATACCGATCGGTTCTTTCAAAAAATCGATACCGACAAAGTTCGGCTTCGGTTAGTTCGGTTCGGTTTCGGTTTCGAACCGAACAACTTCGGCTTCCAAAAAATCAGCGACTCGGGAGGGCACGCCGGACTCTGGGCGAGGATGCGGCGCCGAGGGAGGTTGGCCGTCGCAGGGGGCACCGGGACTCCAGGTCTCCGGGAGTTCGGTTCCTCGGGTAGTTCAGTTAACCGAGGGGAGGAACCGAATTAACCGAACAAATTTTGGTTCTTAGGAAATGGGAACCGAACAGGGAACCGAGATTTCGGTTCTCGGTAAATTCAGTTCGGTTCTCGGTTTTTTCGGTTCGGTTCTTAGTTCTCGATAAAATTTGCCCAGGGCTACCAAAGACGCCGCCGTCTTCAGCCCCGGTGGCAACAAGGGCTCCACTGCCGCTCCAGGTCAGCCTGCCACTCCTCGATTGCCTCCATGCGTCGCAGTTCATTCATTTGAGCGTGTAAGACTATCTCCAACGACGTCACCCTTCTTCACCGACAAGACAAAAAGAGAACCCTTTCTACAGATGAGTCTCTAAGAGAGAGGATACTCATATTTAGGTCGTGCTTCTGCTGAAACCCAAAGTAGGTCTCGCATATAGGTATTCTATTGAAGGCTGATACAGTACCATCCATGGCCTATTTTATGTTTGGGTCTTCATATGAATCATCCATCGGAGACAGTCTAATATTGTGAAATATTTCAGCACATGACTACTAAAAAAACTGAGTGCCCACTGCTTCACTGCACAGTAGAAAATGCAGGGGAAAGTTAAATGTGCCATTAAGGCATGTGCCCCTAAGCATTACGTCGTTGGATTGACATTGAGATATGTGCACGAACACTTCTCAATATGAATGAGTATTGAGATATATGTGTGCACACTTTTCAATACGAATCAATGATAAATACGCTGGGAGCCCGTGTCCTCAAGAGAAAAAAACCGTCTTTGACAATGCAGCACATATCAATGATTTTATTCGAGCGAACGAAGAAGACAATTCCGTCCAATTTAGCCGACCGAATTGCACTATTGGAGAACACTCGATTGAGACCTGAGCACTCCCTGGTTTCGCTTTGCAGCCAAGGACAACTCGACGGGCGACGACCGACTCCCGGCGCACTGCAGGCGACCAACAGAGGCGGGGTCTCCCCGGCGGCGACCGCCGGTGTTGCACTGACCGTGCTGCTCGCCGGCTACCTTCTGCTCGTGCCAGAGCCCGCTACATTCTAGACCTCTGTCAAGTGGCACCAAAAAATTACCAGGGTGTGATACTGTGATATATTGTTCTAGTACGTGACAGACATTTTGCTGGTGGTGTTGGTGTAGTTGTACACTTGTACTGTATTTCCTGTTAGGCTATGGTTACGGCATTGGCGTACGCGATGTGTAATGTACAAGTGCCTGCCCTCTGGTTGCTGATCCTTCTTGGTATTCTTTTCGGTGAACAGGTGATGTATTTGATCAGTCAAGTAACTTTCCTTCCTAGTTTGTCCAACCAACACGACTGATGATCACAGTAACGTTGATGTTGAATAGTCGATAGGTCAAAATAACACACCTGCAAAGACCCTCTTTAACCTGAATTCTAATTGATTGAATATCCATACAAGGAATTGAAGGAAGATGTGACGTTCCGCGGGACTTAGATCATCTCTAGTAATACTACCTAAAACACATCCATATTTCCCTGTTTAGGTAGCTACCAAATTTCATACTACCCATATTTCGTGGTTTACTTCAGCAACACTACCTAAAATAGACCCTCTAAATCCATCCTTGCAGAGAAAGACACGTGGGGCCGACCTGTCATTCTCTCTCATCTTCTTCTTCCCATTGACGGTCGGAGCAGCCAGGCGGCGCTGGGGCAGGCTCACCAGAGCCGCGCCGGGGCAGGGCTGAGGAGCCGCGGCTGCCACGCCGGGGGCTAACTAGGGTAGGCCGCACAGGGGCTCGCTCGCCGAAGCCGCGCCGGGGAAGGGCCGAAGCTTCTCGAGGTGCACTGAGGACAGGACAACGCTGGGGCTACTGGAGGCGCTCCGGAGGATGGACGGCGTCGGGCTGTTGAAGGAGCACCGGGGAGGCGCTGCCGCCGGGGCCAGCCGCGTCGGGGAGGGTGAAGCTATGTCGGGCCGGGTTGGAGGGAAGAAGAGCGTTGATGCAGTCACGAGAGAGAGAAAAAAGTAGGGGGAGTGGAGTAGGGGGCTAACAGAAGTAGGGGTGAAGGGGGAAAAGTAGTAGGGAGTTTTAGGGTTTAGGAAGTCTGTGTGAGCTGGTTTTTTATCCTCACTATCCAAGTCCTAAGTAGGGATCAAGTAGGGGGCATTGCTGGAATCTAGAGGTGCTTTTATTGCAAAGGCTGATACTCTAGAACTAGACGCTCTTTCAACCCTGGTATCGAGCACGAGCAGCGAGTTCTGGTTGCACCACCTCATGGTACATATTGGGGCGGGGGGGGGGGGGGGGGGGTGGGTTGACTCGTGAAAGGGTGTGCACGCAGACGGTGGTGTCTCGCTTGTGCTTGTGCACAAGGATGAGAAGGCCGTCGCCCGTCGATGAAGCCGGCGATCCTGTAGCGCGGGAGGAAGGTGATGTCGCCGGTGCCGTCCAAGGAGAGGTGGGGCCTTTGCGCTTCCCGGCTTCCGTCCGGATGTCACCGGAGCAAGAGGTGAAGAGCTTCTAGCCATGCACCCCGCACTGATCAAGTTCAGGGAAATAGGCCCAGAAAATATCAACATCAGAAACAAACTTTGTTCTCTTCTGTCCCTCCCCGACTACTCTCCGGCACGGACACCGCCATCCGATCGGAAACAATCCCGAGACGACGATTCGTGTGAATGAATGACTTGCGGCTGGCGAGGTCGAAGCCGCCGTTGTGTCGTGGCGTGCAAGAGGACATGAAACCACGCCGCCGTGGAACAGTGTCAAGGAACGCCCTGAAGGAACCCGAGTAGACGCCACGCGATTTGAGCGGGCCAACGAGCCCTGTGCATTGGGCTCGCTTGTTTGGATTAGAAGCCCGAAGGTTTCATGAAATGTTTGACTTGCAAGGCCTTTCAATTCATTTTTTGAAAAAGCTCTCGTGTAGTGTTGTTAAAACAGTTTAGCAGTGAAACAAGGAAAACCAAAATTTGTCCGCAAGGTTTTCATTTGTTTGCCACGCAAGTTCACAAGGCTACATGCCGGTGCCAAATTTGAGGAAAACAAAACAGTTAAGATAAACACACATTCGATCAATGCCGGTGCCAAAACTAGAGGAAAACCAAAAAGTTCAACAAACACATTCGATCAATGCCGGTGAAAATATTTGAGAAAAACCAAAAACCGTTGCTTTTCCCAAACCAATCAGAGAGATCATGCATATAAAAACATGGTCAGGGAGAAAAATCATACAGATAAATCGATCCAACCAACATCAACTATGACAAAACCACATAGACGACCATACCACAGAACAAAACCTTGAGATTCAGCTAGTATTCAATGCATGCAGAGATTGAGCTAATATACCAAAGCATAACCATGTCTCAGCATAACAAGTGCACTTTCGACCAGGATCATTAAACAAAACTGCAATCTTATCACCAGGCTTACTACTCTCAAGGCAGGTGTTCTAAGGGTCACACCAAGTTCAACAAACATAGCAGAAATTCGATGACATCCAAGACCATACAAGAACCACCAAGTCCGCCAGGGCTTCAGCGCAGCCTCCTGGCCTCCCTCTCAGACTCAAGAAGGGTGAGGATGTCACCCTCACGAACCGGGCCCTTGACATTCCTCATGATGAGACGGTTCTGGTCATCCAAGAACTTCACTCTGACCTGGGTCACCTGACCCCTGGAGCCGGTCCTGCCCATCACCTTCACCACAGCAAGCTTCACCTGGGTGTCCATGCTGCACAGATAGAAAGCATTTGTCAGTTTTCAAGGTGAATCATATGCTTATAGTTCATTTAAACTGCAGATAGGTAAAGATAAACTGTCACATGATGGTAAAGATAAACTGTCACATGATTTGTTAAAATTGGAGTTTTGTGAACAGAAACTGACAAACAAATTAACAGCATTACATGTACAAAAGCAAAACATGAACACAACACGACCTATTTGGTATCCAGCATATTGTGTTTGCGGTATGCAAGTTTAGTTCACATAATGTGTCCTCTGAAAAATTCCAACATATTACTATCACCTTGGATTCAATAGGTTCTCAAAGAATGCTTGCTGCAGCACAATACCAAATTATCAATACTACCTTGCATTTGAGAGGTTCAAAAAAGAATGGTTGCTCTGGCACAATTCCAAAAATGATCACTATGACCTTGCATTTGAGAGGTTCCGCGATTATGTTTCGTTTGCTAGGTTATCAAGCACAGTCAAGCATTATTGTCGAATCACTGAGCTAAGAAATAAGTGTTCTTCAAGATGCTTCTACCCAGCTTCACTGAAGGACCCTTCAAGATTGCACCACAAAGGAGGATCACAGCAAAAATCAAGAACCCCACACGACCACCAGATTCGTAGTTGCACAACATCCACCATACTAAACGAAGAAATCCTGTGCTACTATGCCCAAAACATCCATGTTTAAATCTACAACACTTTAAATTCATATTAATTTTTTTGAAACGATTCATATTATTCTAGAACAGCGCTTACAAATGTGTTCTTCATGATGTTTAAATAGTCTCTACGTAGGACATCAAAACCTAGGAGACCCTTCAAGGTTGCACAACAAAGTCTCTACGTATCACATCAATAAGGAAGACGCCCAAACAACACCACCAGATTCAGTCACACAGCATCCAACATACACAATCAACAAAGCAGTCGTACTATGCTCATCCATCGCGTAATATCCGTGTTACCAGAACAAGCGCCTAAAACCAGGGGATTCGGAACGCTCATACATGAATCAAGGCTTGCAAACAGGAAACATGTACCATATAGCAATAAAGAAACGCGCGACGCACCATAAAACCTACAGCATAAAATCTACAGCTACGGCGCATCGCTGGGATGAATGGAGAGTCGAACCTCTCGCTTCTCGCGTGGACGGAGGCCGACGAGCTCTCGGTCACGCGAAGCGAACTGGGGCGGCGTCGGCGGCGCGAGGAGAACACTCGATGAGGAAGGAAACCCTAGGCCTGCGTTGGTTCGTTTTATAGCAGGAGAGGGTGGCAGTTGAGCCGATACCGCCGTGGACCCGCGCGTTGGGCTAGACCGCCCGCATGGTGGAGGTGTGTGGGCTCTCAAGAGTGGGCCGGGCCGAGCTGTGGAGCGTTGATGACGGCCCGTTGCAGCAAACGAAAGACTGGGCCGTGCGCCGGCAGAGGCCCACACGGACAGCGGCAACGGCTCCGCACACGAGCACAGCACTACACAAATGGCCGCTGTGATTAGTGAGAGGAAAAATTTCACATTACCTCCTCAACTTTCACGAAAGTCCACTTTTCCTTTTAAACTTCAAAACCAGCCAAAACATCTCCCTCAACTTTTAAAACCGTTCATCTTACCTCCCTGACCTGGTTATAAGCGGTTTTGAAGGCGATTTTGTCTTTTTCTTTTTTATTTATTTTGGCTGAATCTTTGAAAAAATATAGTAAATCATAGAAAAATCATAAAATGAAAAATTTAATTTTACTGGATTCCACATGAGTAGATCTACACGGTGAATATATAATATGATATGATTTAGTACAAAGTTTTTGTTGTAGTTTTAAATCTATGCTTTTCTGTAATTAAATGGAAAAAATTTATAGCTGCAGTTTCTATAGTCCAATTATGGTGAAATTTTTATGGTGGGCTAATTATTATATGCTTAAACTGTAGTAAAAATTTCATACTCATCGGATCATGTTTATTTAGGTTGATGCTTGTTAAATATAAATAAATCTATAACTAAGCTATACATCATCCAATGAGTATAAAATTTTTACTACAGTTCAATCATACAATAATTAGCCTATCATAAAAATTTCATCACAATTGGACCATAAAAACTGCAGCTATGAATTATTCTAATTAATTACAGAAAAATCATAGATCTAAAACCACAGCAAAAACTTTATACTAAAACATACCATATTATATGTTTACTGTGTAGATCTACTCATGTGGAGTCCAACAAAATTAGATATTTCATCTCATGATTTTTCTGTGATTTACTATGATTTTTTAAAGATCCAGCCGAAATAAATAAAAAAGAAAAAAACAAAGCCGATTTCAAAACTATTTATAAGAGGGCTAGGGAGGTAAGATGAATGGTTTTAGGCTTTGTTTAGTTTTTCCCCTAAAGTTTACTCCCTATTGAAAGCATCTAGGCCCGTAGTTGGGTTTCGGTGATTAATGACAATACATGATTACTGTGACTAATGTGTGTTTTACAGATGCAATTAAGTTAGGTCATGGTAATGACAACTGATTGGGCAACATGATTGTCATACCCCTACGATGTAAATCGTTTCGATTTTCAAAGGATGGACGACAAGGTTAAGGATGGACTAGTTCTAAGTGTCGTTTGGTGTTGAGCAGACACTTAGAGTAGCTTATGCCTTTGTTTTTCCTTTGGCCATACTATTAAGGGAGGTATGAACAGGTAGCTTGACCTAGGTGAGTCTAGTGGGTTAGTTATGGTGCACACTTGTCAAATCTAGCACTAGGTAGCTCCTAAATAGCCCTTAGATCAATTGGAGCAAACTTCATTCACATATTATTTCAAGTTGAAAGTGAATAGAGGGTCAAATGTTGATCGGACGCTGGTTCCGGTGTGACCGGACGTTGGCGCAGAGTCCGGTCAGTTCATTTGATCAAAGTGAAGGCGTCTGGATGCGACCGGACACTGAGAGGTGAGTGACCGGACGCTGGGCGCTAGAGTCCGATCAACTCCAGTAAGGTCCTAGAGAGGGAGAATACTGATCGGAGGCGTCCGATCAGTGCTGACCGGATGCTGGTCAGGTTCCGGCTACTGATCGGACGTTGAGCAGCAAAGTGCCCGGATGCTGGGTTCCAAAGTCCGGTCAACATCACTAAGGTTCCAGATGACAGTTTTCATGACCGGACGCGTCCGGTCAGTACTGACCGGACGCTGGCCAGTCTCCGGTCACAACTTAAACTGCTCAGTGGCGGGTGAACTGATCGGAGCGTCCGATCACCCCACAGAGGCACATAACGGTTCATTTTGAATGAGGGGTTATAAATACTTCCTCTATTCACTTGAGGGATCACTTTTGCTCATTCCAACAGCTGAGAAACACCTTTGAGGGTGCCAAGAAGAGCAAAGTCCTAGTGAGATAATTGAGATTTGAGAATCCAAGAGAGAGACCTCATTAGTGAAAGCAAGAGTACCAAAGTGTGCATCCACCCTTCTCATTAGGTTATGTTCACCTCACTAGATGAAAAAGTAGATGGACAAGAAAGAATCATATTTGAAGATAATTCAAAGGGCAAGGTAATAGGATTGGGAAAAGTGGCAATATCAAATGATCATTCAATCTCAAATATGCTATATGTTGCTTCATTAATTTTCAACTTGCTATCCGTTGGACAATTGTGTGATCTTGGCTTTCAATGCCTATTTACCGAGAAGGAAGTGGTAATATCCAAGAAAGATGATGATCAAGTGATATTCAAAGGATTTAGATGCAACAATCTATATCTAGTGGACTTCACCTTCGAAAATACAATTTTGAGGACTTACCTATTCACCAAAACAACACTTGGGTGGCTATGGCATAGAAGACTTGCTCATGTTGGGATAAGCTCACTTAAGAAGCTAATGAAGAATGATTTGGTGAGAGAGTTCAAGGATGTGAAGTTTGAAAAGGACAAGCTTTGCAGTGTATGTTAAGCCGGCAAACAAGTTGCAAACACTTATCCTACAAAAGCTTTCTTATCAATCATAAGAGTGCTAGAGCTCCTTCACATGGAATTATTTGGACCAACAACATACAAGAGTTTGGGAGGAAATCTTTATTGTCTTGTGATTATTGATGACGACTCAAGATACACATGGGTGTTCTTCCTTCATGACAAATCTGAAGTTACATCATGCTTCAAGAAATTTGCCAAGATAGCACAAAATAAGTTTAAAGTGAAGCTCAAGAAAATTAGAAGTGACAACGGTAAAGAATTCGACAACACAAACATTGAAACCTATTGTGACGAAGTTGGAATCAAGCATGAGGTCTCCACAACATATATTCTTCAACAAAATGGTGTAGTTGAGAGAAAGAACCAGACATTGATCACACTAGCAAGAACAATGCTTGATGAGTACAACACTCCCGAAGCTCTATGGGCGGAAGCTATCAACACCGCATACTATGCATCCAACCGCCTATTCCTTAAAAAGTTTTTTTTGACAAGACACCTTATGAATTTCTTAATGGAAAGAAGCCGGACGTCTCCTTCTTTAGGGTGTTTAGTTGCAAATGCTACATCTACGAGAAGCGGCAACACCTAGGAAAGTTTCAAAGACGTTGTGATATTGGTTTTCTTGTTGGTTTCTCATCAAAGTCCAAAGCATATAGAGTATTTAATCATGCCACCGGCTTGGTTGAAGAAACATATGATGTGGAATTTGATGAATCTAACGGATCCCAAGGAGCACATAGAAATCTTGATGATGTAGGTGATGAACCATTGAGGAAGGCCATGAAGAATATTCGGGTTAGAGACATCAAGCCTAATGATGATGAAGATGATGTACAAGTGATCAATCCACCTTCTTCATCAAATGTGCCACAAGATGTTGATAAATATGGGAGAGTAAACAATAAAGACACTCATGTCTCCCATGAGCAAATAGTGACATAAGCACATGATGTTGATGCTCCACAACCTTTCCCTCAAGTGGTTGATAGAAGAAATTCACCTCTACTATAAGCTCATACACAAGATCTCATTATAGGGAGTCCATCAAAGAAAGTAATGACTCGCTCTCAAAAGCTTGATTTGTTTATTGAACATCACTCTTTTGTCTCTTGCTTTGAGCCTACTAAGGTAGAAGAAGCTCTTCAAGATCTGGATTGGATAAACGCCATGCATGAAGAGTTGAACAATTTCACCCGCAATGAAGTTTGGACTCTTTGAAGAGCGACCACAAGGTGCAAAAGTCATTGGAACAAAGTGGGTGTTCTGCAACAAGCAAGATGATTAAGGCATTGTTGTGTGGAATAAGGCAAGATTAGTTACAAAGGGGTTCTCTCAAGTTGAAGGGTTAGATTTTAAAGAGACCTTTGCACCGGTTGCAAGACTTGAAGCTATTCGTACCCTCCTTGCATATGCATCACATCATGAAATGAAACTATATCAAATGGATGTTAAAAGTGCATTTTTAAATGACTTTATTAATGAACTAGTCTATGTTGATTAACCTCCTGGGTTTGAAGACCCTAAATATCGTAATCATGTTTATAGCTTGTCCAAGGCGTTATATAGGCTTAAGCAAGCCCCCAGAGCTTGGTATGAGCGCCTTTGAGACTTCCTCATTGAGAAGGGCTTCACCATTATGAAGGTCGACACCACACTATTCACCAAGAAGCTTGATGGATATATCTTCATTTGTCAAGTGTATGTTGATGATATCATCTTTGGATCATCAAATGAAGATTCTTGCAAAAAGTTTGGTGACTTGATATCGAAGGAGTTCGAGATGTCAATGATTGGAGAGCTTATATTTTTTCTTGGTTTTCAAGTCAAGCAAATGAGAGAAGGGGTTTTCATCTCAAGAGAAATATACTAATGATCTTCTCAAGAGATTCAAAATGGATGAATGTAAACCAATCAACACATCAATGCTAACTAATGGACATTTCGACCTAGACGAGGGAGGTAACATGGTTGATCAAACTCTCTATCGCTTTATGATTGGTAGCTTGTTATATTTAACTACATCTAGGCCCGACATCATGTTTAGTGTGTGTATATGTGCTAGATTTCAAGCTAATCATAAGGAAACTCATTTGATTGCCGTTAAAAGAATCCTTAGGTATCTTAAGCACACACCAAG